TTAACAACGTTTATGCTCGTAAATTCTTACAAATTAAAATTGCCGATTATGACGCGTAATCAATGAAGATACTATTTGTAATATGCTATTTTAAGGGAATTTCTCTGGTGGGTAACTGATTTTTTTTTTCTTGCGATAAGAAAATTATACGGTATGCATTACGGAACTCATACTTGAGAAGTCGGAAACAGGAAATTATTGATCCAACGACCGACGGGTGTAATTATCTGTGGGGGATAACATTTTTTGCTTTGTTTTTTTGTTATTAAAAACGGAAAATTTCGAGGTTTTTCTCGAAGAGTAAATGTCATAAAATACAGTATAAATAGTTGCATAATTTAATTTAGTTGCCTCGACCCTTTTCAAGTTGAACTCAGAGAAACCCACAACAAATTCGACTTCTGGAGTTTTTGAGTTACAGAAATCAGCCTTTTTCTTTAGGAAGGAAACATTTCAAGAGGGTAAAATTAGTGATAAGCTTCTGGGCCTTGAAGTGCTAAATTTGACAGGAAGCCGAACTTGGAGGCAAGGGTATACATTTTCCAACTACAGTATTCACACACATCGTATTGAAGTGACATAACAATTTTATTGCTTTTCTCCCTTGGTTCCCTAGAAAAAAATTGCAATTAAGGCCTTCAGAAATTTGAGCTACAGTAGAGGTTCGAGGGAAAGTCTTTTGATTTTGGAGGAGGTCTGAAGTACATTGTTCTTGAATAGATTCAAACAAAACAAAAATTTGACACGGGGTGGTTTTCAATTTAGTTCGAGTTTTCGAGGTCCAACTGCTATACTTCAAGCGAGGTCATTACGCAAATGTATCATGCTCATTTCCATGCACTGGAATTTTAATTTCGTCGAAATTTGTCACGTTTGAAAAATAGCGATGCTGTGAAAGCAGCGAGGGTCCAGACGAAGTCATTAGCAGTGGATTTGTCATTCAAGGTCAACCAGGTCAGGTGCAGAGATTGACCGATGATGATGACGGCGGCACATTTGCACGTTAACTGGAGTTTTTTCTCCTTCTGACTCTGATGGTTCCATCTGAGTGTCAATAGACATATTTATTGTGCCTCATTCGCGCTTTTGTTTCAACCTACATTTGAGAAAAATTCGAGAAAATCTTGCAGAAGAATCCATTTAAAAAGAAGGGAATTTAATTTTTTAGCGTTTCTTCTGTACAAGAGTACGCTTTTAAGTCGAAACCATCTGAGTATTTGAAATCATTTGGACTTCCTTGTTCTAGCGTTAATTATTTCAGAAGTCGTCAATCCTATGCTGAAACTCACATGGGGTTTTACGAGCATTCTGAAAATTTTTGTAAGCTTAAAAAATTCCGATATAAACTTGGAATACTACCGGTTTAAAAAAAATCAGAAAATCAGTTGATCGTATTTGAGGCCTCAGAATGGATTGTGTAAAATTAGGAAAGGAAAAATGAATATTCTTAAGTATGTCTCATCCCTTAGAATTTTAACGGAGAAGAAAGACAGGGATTAACGCTGCTCAGTTTTCTGTACCTACGTCTCAGTTAATTAAGACAAAATAATATTAAATCAGTACTCTACATGTATGTATATCACTTCGAAAATTCCTTTCCAATCTTTATTCGTCAGCCCAAGGAATATTTCTGCATCAATTCCCGAACGGATTTCTGTCGAAAACCTGACGACATCCTCTTTCGGGATCGCGTTCTCCAACGGCATCATTTGCGCAACTTCCGACACTAGATTCGTCGACACGCCGTGTTTCGCCAAGGGTTCGACTTGGAGATCGGAAAATAATATTGATGATGAGCAGCGGGTTGTATTGGCAAAGGGAAACCCCGTGACTTGGATTCGCTGCGAAGCCATGTCAACAAGCGACCCGAATGTGACCTGTTTGGGAAACGAAGACGGCGCCGGTCGAATCGCGACACCGCGACGTTGTGACGGGGTTCGAGATTGCGACGACCTGTCGGACGAATTCAATCCGGAATGCAGAAGGGGTCAGTTCTTTTCGTATTACTTTCGGTCGCATGCTTTTATTCTCTGTGTATATAGAACAGGGCTTTCCCACCTTTTTGTATGTATGTGCGCATTGTTATACTGTACTACATACTGTATACTCCTGTTCTTGGAAGTGTAAAGCTGCATTTCCTACGGACTAGGACGTAAGTCAATAAAAATATTTTGACGTTGTGTTGAAATGGCAGGGAATTTTACCGAAAAGTGTGATAAAGTTGAGGTGTATTCAGAGTGCATTGAATGTGTTTTCAGCATGAAAATGGGGATATAAACTATAAAACGCGCAATAATATACTTAACCGAAGTTAGATTCATGTGATTTTTGGTATACCCAAGAGGCGATAATGGCATGAAAACTGTGTATCTTCGTACAAAGTATCCCAAAAAGAAAATTGCAAAGCTTTACCCTGCACTAGTGCATTTTCTGGGGTTTGAATACTGTACCTTAAAAGACGTCAGGGTTTGTGTCTTGAGGAGTTTACCCATCGCCTTTCCTCAATAATGAAAGACCACAAGTGTTTACTTAATTTTCAATTTTTCAGGCTCAGAATAGGCTTAAGATCAGTTTCTCGGTTTACTCGGGTTTCAGGGTTTTTTGCTCAAGTCAACTTTCCAGTATTTTTGCATGGGCTTCTCATTACTCCGTTCGTAGTTACAAAATCATTCATTGCATATCTTGAATCAATTTATCTCTCTTCGCCTACTTATTTATACTGTAGAAAAATCCCGCGGCCTGAAAAAAAAAATTGGATATACAATGCTCTAATTTAAAATACAGTATTAATGTGAAATTACGGTACTGTATTTAGAACAATGAAATAATTTTACCGGGCGGTTCTAAATCTTAATTCTCATCTTTACCTCTATCTTGATGGAAGGAATGATGGGGAAAAAGCAAGAACTTTAAATACATCACAATAAAATTTGTAAAGCTCAAGAAGAGTTATAGAAGGCAATAGACAAAGTGAAAGGCCACGAAATAATAAAACATCGTAATGAGTCGGTTTTTTTCCTAAAGCAAATAAATTAAAAATGGGATAAAATTTCTTTTTTATTTCCAGCCTACGCAGGATTTAGGAAACCTTTCGGAGTGGCGAATGACGTGAATACGGACGAATTTATTTCATTTGAAATCGTCAAAAATGGGACCAAGCAAGAGACAAAATCATTCGTGTCTCGATCGGTTCGCAATTACGTTTTAAACCACCGAAATAAGCAAGACGCTCCAATTCCGAAAGATATGATTCGAGATGTGCAAAGCCCTCTGAAGAGATCCTTCACTTCCATTTTTGCGCATTTGATGCCCTTGAAGGGAACGGACCATTCGGACCATGCCGTGCTATTTTGCAAAAGTAATCGAAATATTTCTTGCGTCTTTGCGTGTGCCGATGATTTCTGGAACATGGAATTGGCCAATACCGTGTGCAAGACAGCTGGAAAAGGGCGAGTCTCTCTCTTTCTTTTCTTTTTTTTAATACTGATGTACTGTACCATGTTTTCATGGTACAGTAATTATACCTAATCAATGAAGGAACTTATCAACTTCAGCAAATATCTGACTTATGACTTTATTTTGCTTGCGGAAATGTAGAAATAGTTATTACATTGTGGGAAGAATGGGGATAAAAAAATAAAAAAAAAATCCTCGCTCTCTCCTGAGTGCTGGAAAAATCAAAGATGTTCTTCATCCTATTCGTTTTCCCCCAAACATATATCACAGCATTACAATTATGCTTATGTGGTGTAAATCAGTAAAACATTCTATGAAGATGAATTTTCTTGCCTTCGAAATAATGCTTTCCTTAAAAATTGGTAGGCCAAAAATTTCTTCTTATCTTACAATTGTGTCTTAACAACGTTTATGCTCGTAAATTCTTACAAATTAAAATTGCCGATTATGACGCGTAATCAATGAAGATACTATTTGTAATATGCTATTTTAAGGGAATTTCTCTGGTGGGTAACTGATTTTTTTTTTCTTGCGATAAGAAAATTATACGGTATGCATTACGGAACTCATACTTGAGAAGTCGGAAACAGGAAATTATTGATCCAACGACCGACGGGTGTAATTATCTGTGGGGGATAACATTTTTTGCTTTGTTTTTTTGTTATTAAAAACGGAAAATTTCGAGGTTTTTCTCGAAGAGTAAATGTCATAAAATACAGTATAAATAGTTGCATAATTTAATTTAGTTGCCTCGACCCTTTTCAAGTTGAACTCAGAGAAACCCACAACAAATTCGACTTCTGGAGTTTTTGAGTTACAGAAATCAGCCTTTTTCTTTAGGAAGGAAACATTTCAAGAGGGTAAAATTAGTGATAAGCTTCTGGGCCTTGAAGTGCTAAATTTGACAGGAAGCCGAACTTGGAGGCAAGGGTATACATTTTCCAACTACAGTATTCACACACATCGTATTGAAGTGACATAACAATTTTATTGCTTTTCTCCCTTGGTTCCCTAGAAAAAAATTGCAATTAAGGCCTTCAGAAATTTGAGCTACAGTAGAGGTTCGAGGGAAAGTCTTTTGATTTTGGAGGAGGTCTGAAGTACATTGTTCTTGAATAGATTCAAACAAAACAAAAATTTGACACGGGGTGGTTTTCAATTTAGTTCGAGTTTTCGAGGTCCAACTGCTATACTTCAAGCGAGGTCATTACGCAAATGTATCATGCTCATTTCCATGCACTGGAATTTTAATTTCGTCGAAATTTGTCACGTTTGAAAAATAGCGATGCTGTGAAAGCAGCGAGGGTCCAGATGAAGTCATTAGCAGTGGATTTGTCATTCAAGGTCAACCAGGTCAGGTGCAGAGACCATTCCGACCTGCACACGTGCGACTTTGATGATCAACATCCATATCTGTGTCCGAGTGCCTCCATCGCAGCAGCTCAATGTTCTCCGAAAGATATGGGTGAAGAAAAAAAATTTGTGAAAAAGTTGGCTGGAAACTCCATGAACTTTTAATATTCAATTATCTTCCGGCAGATTTATTTTCAGCGGTTATATAGATACGGAAATACGGTAATGATCATACAACATTCCGGAAAGTTATTGAGATACGCATGGGAATGGGGAAACAACTTGGAAACAAGATTACTTTGTGAACTTTTCCAATTTCGAAGTTTACCACCTCTGAATTTCGAGAAATTGTGTCTATACCATGCGTAAAAATATAAAAATTCACTCTCTCTCTCTCTCTCTCGATGCTGAAAAATTGAAAGTAACTCTTTTTCTCTATAAATATGGAGAAATATGTGGTTCACCTAGACATTAATTCCGTGAAAAATCGTTCTCCAGTTTGCTCCTTTCTTTTGATTTCAATTGGAAAAGCCGTAATTTCCAATAATATCTGTAATTTTTGAAAAAATGCTTTGCATTCAGAAAAGGTAATCCCGACCGTGTGACATGAACGTTTTCCGATGGAGGTAATGTTGCAAGTAGTCATTCTATAGAATAATTTTTGAATCATTTGATCGTGCAGGTAAGAGATTTTATTTTTACAATTGATCATGAGAATAATATTTTTTTCACCCACTGTTTTTTCTCGTATTTCAACTGGCTCAGTTTTTCCAACAAAACTTGCCCTAAAAATAAAAGCCGCATCAGTGGATCCACTTGACTCCGACAAAACATAGCTCAAACGAGTTTTAAGTACAGTACTCAATTTTATTCATTTGCTCGTAGAGTGACATTCAATAAAATAAAATAAAATTTAATGAATAAAAATTAGCGATTTATTATGTAATGAAAAAGAAACGCAATGGCTTCGTTCGTGCATACCTGTTAAAAATGCAAAACTTTTCAAATGCTGAATAGTTTAAAAGGCAAATTTTTGCATTCAATGGTTTTGGTCAATCTAACCTCAGGTGTATTGTAATTTGTAAATACAGCAGTAAAGAGTTCTTTGCTGCGTTTACTGCATGAAGTCTTTTGCTACTTCCTTAGAATAACTTACGTGTCCTTGATTTTTTTACCCTCATAATTCTACTATATCTTATTATACTCATTTAATTTAATTTTTGTTCTCCCTGTCGTTTTTGTTGAAGATTGTGACCTGATAAAACCCTTCAAATGTGACGATGGTGTGGAGTGCATCCCGATGGACTTTGTTTGCGATGGGGAAGTGGATTGCATCGACGAATCGGACGAAATTCGCTGCGAATACGGGCCCTCCAGCTTGCTCCCTGTGGATTCCGGAAATTCCTTTGACACGTGAGAAATATCTGTATGCAAACCGGTGAAAGAAATGATAATCCCTGGTTCGATGAATGAGCCACGATTCCAAAGAATTCGGTTGGACGCGTTCTGGGGAGTTTATTATTTTCTCGCCCCTCCTCATCGGAAACTCATGAGTTGCTATGGGGAACATGAGAAGTGAATGCGAATTATACCCGTACTTGCTAGTTGAAAACCATTTTCAAAACCCATTGCAAATCGTTTTCCTATATACTACGCATACCTATTCTCTTCTGTACCAAAAATTGAGGAATTCATCCTGGGGTCCAAGTGAATATACTAAAGGGAGAGAGAGAGAGAGAGGATTGGAGGCACACGTTTTTGCTGAAGAACTATTTTTGCTATAATGAGTGGAATAAACATCTTTACTGCATAATCTTTCAAAAAAGAGACCAAAGCTTATTTTATTTCCTAAAAACTAGGGATTCTTTAATAGCTAGGATTTTTTTTTCATGGAAACAGAATGTTCCATTTGAAAATTTCTGATACCGTTGAAAGTATTCAAATTTCGAAATTAATTATTTTGAGTTGGGATCATTTCCGAAATTTCAAGAATTCTGTGTTATCTTTTTCATTGTTAGGGCTAGTAAACGATGCTTACATAATATCTTTCAACTGTTTCCATTCGTCTGCTAAACTGGAAAGCAAATTTCCTCTTCTGAATGCATTTATTAGTACTGTATTCTATAAGCTGTAGATATTTATACAGCAGTTCACCTGGAATTCTTTGGTTTCTCTGATGAGGGCCGATGAAAATGTAGGATGAAAACCTCCCTTGAATCTTTTGCATAAATGCGTTAAAAATAAATTCATTTGCTTCAGTTTCCCGTAAAAGATTGATTTTTGAAAACAAAAACAGAAAGACAAGTGTAGTAAAATCTTTTTATAACGAAACCTTCTGAATCTGGAAATACCCTTTGCCTCAATTAAAAATTCGTTATAATAAGATTGTAATTGTAGTTTATTTACCCTGACAAATTATTCCTCCAAAACAAAAAATTAGTGTATTTATAAAGTTACGGACTGGATTTCAATGCGTATTCTTTCGAAAATTTATAATTCGTCTCATCAACGATTGATTATGAACGGAAGGATTTTCTAACGTGCATGCTGATGAAGTCGTTATATACTGGATAATCATGATTCTCCATTTCAACCTATTTTTCGGATTGATCATAACCAATTACGGACTCAGCACTTTGAATGTATCCGTCCACGAGGGAATTTCGCCGATTAGCATTTCTGAGTCACTACATCAAACACACAAGGAGAACATCTCAGAAGCTTCATCCAATTTGACAGAATCGGATTTGATGCCGTCAACAGCTGTAATTCCCTCCGAAGGTGAGTTTCATCGCAGTGCTGTTCAATAAAGCTGACTTCTTTTCTTTTTCTACATACTTACTTGAATTCCCGCCATTTCTGCTAAAATTTCCCCGAATATTATTGTTAAGCGATTCTAAGCGCGCTCCTGAATTTAATGTAGAATTCATTTCTTTGGGTATCTGCGTGTCCGACAGATGTCGCACTGGAATGTCTGTTTAACGCTTCTAGCGATTGCCTCAAGATGACGCTGGTTAAACGACCTGATCCCTATGATGACCTGATAGTTTTCTGCGTGGAGGGATCGTTCATTTGTGGACCTCTTTGCTTTTCCGACTGGCCTACGTTAACCCTTGGCACATTGTGTGGCATGGTTGGAAATGGGTGAGCATATTTTTCAAAGTTCATCTGTAAATTTAGATTTAAAATAGTATTGAGCTTTATTTTGAAATTATGGATTTTTGAATTACGGTATGTGAAAACGGGAGTAATACCCATTCATGCATTTTAAATGAATTCACGGGGTAAGATGCATGGGATATGCAGTGGAAATGAAAGCCATTCACTATAGGCTTTGAAGTTTATAGCATTAAAAATAGGCGTGACTACTATACCAACCATGTTTTGAAATAAGCTAAAGTTTGCAAACATGCAAATTTTAAACATACATGTTTACCCGTGGGCATAAAGTTCCTTGCTCATGACCAGGGTGCGACGAAGTCGAATAATAACTTCAAATTAGGTAATCTACGTTATACTGTACAACAATAACCCGAAGCATCACAGTATTTTTTCTGGGATGTGGTATGAATTTTACATTATCAAGCAAGAATTTCTAATTTTTATTCACCTACGGAAACATCAAAGATCATATTTGTTTCAAGTTTTGTGGAATTAATGATGTAGGGACCAAATTCTTTTGATTAGACGGTGGTTAGATCTTGGATGACACTACGTTAATTAATGACGGAAAACGTTAGTCTTTGCGAGAGCTCAATTAATTTTGCGCCTACTGAAAGGCTCCACCGATTAGAGGACTGTTTACTCCGAGGTTGCGGGAGATATTTCCAGAAATTCTCGTCTAATAAAAATATGCGCAAATTAAATTAGTAAACTTCGAGATAGTTTTTTAATACAGTTCATTGAAACGCAATCCAGAAAAATCGAAAAATTTCCGCCATTTCTGCTGGATTGTTTCGATTTTTTATGCGATGTGAACGCTCCAGAATTGAGCGGAGAAATCAGTTCTATCGCTTTTTTCTATTCTCAATTTTGAAAAAGTTTCTGATTTACAGGAATAAATTAAACTCGGAATACGGGAATAGTTCTGCTAAAATAACTTGATTGAGAGCAGGCTTTGTTCTCATTCTCTTGCTGAGGAAGATTTCGATCTATACAAGATTAAGACTACAGTAATGAGCTTTTGTAATCTACAACAACTTTTGAAAATGCCCCTGCCGTATTCTTCACTCCTGGGAAGCGGTTCTTTTCTCAGAATTCTGATTTAACAATGGAATTGTGTGCATATTTTCCTGAGTATATCCATCAACCTTTAGTACCCTGCAGAAAATACAAGGCCCGCAGATCAAAGAGAAGTGGACGCAAATATTAATCACATCCAACATGATGCTCCACGATGATGCACCTTTATTTTACTGGCTTATCTTCACAAACAAAGAAAATATTTCATGGATATGGCGGTGGATAGAAACTAGTCGAGTATTTTTACGAGGGTGGGATGCGGGATTTCTTAGTTTCGGGAGCATGTGAATTATTTCGCAGCAGGTAGAATTGAGGTTTCCATATATACGGTATATATAATCATATTTATATTCTAGTAATATTCCCGAATTTTTCGAACATTTTTGAAAAATCTAGATAAATGCAATTTATTTGCATGCGGGGGAAAGAAAATGAGAACGTATTTGTTTGAAACAGACTTGAACTTCATATTTTCCCAATTCTTCGCGTCCGGATTTGACACAATTTTTACGAGTTTATGGATTTTTTTTCATAATTGGATCAATGACCGAAAACGGAAGAAAATCAAGGATTTAAAAAGACTGATATTGCTTTTTTACGTTGAGTGGAATTTTTGTTGGACTCTTTTTATGGGTAAATGTTTCGGGGAAATGAGCCGTCGACTATTTCTAAGATTATTTCCGTTTTTCAAATTACTTTCTTTCTGACTTGGGTGTGGAGGACTTATTTCGATTCTGACGTTAACCCGAGCCAAATTGAACACTTCTTCAAATTCGTCGTGAAATCCATCGATTGCCTACCGAATGCGACGGGGATTTCCGAATGTGATTTGAAAATCGTCCGTCGAGAGAAAAGCCACGATGACGTCTCTGGACTCTGCCCATCGAAAAAGGTTCTTGGAATTCACTGTCCTGGTAATTAAATCATTCTATTCATAGGTTGATTGTCAGAATCATTTTTTTTACAAGTTTTTTTCTTCTTTCATTTGTGCATCTTCTCTGATTTCCTGGTAAATCGCAAGAAAATTGCACGGCTGAGGGAGCGAGAATGTGCAACAATTCTTTCAAGTGCATCCCGAGTGACAAAATGTGCGACGGAATTTCCGATTGTTCTGACCATTCCGACGAGGACCCAAGCTATTGTGCCAACTTCCATCGAGGTCATGCAAATTTAGTGGAAAATCCGTCTCCTCAATTGGGTCTGCGCAACAGTAAAATGCACAGAGTTTTGGACGTTGTGCTCATGACTGCGGTGGTTGCACTTCTGTCCATCATCGGCATCGTGGTAATCGTGAGGATTCTTTTCCTTACTTCCGGAAAAAAACATTCTCAATTGTCAACGTACTTCGCGGAGAAAGGCTTTTTGAAACCGTTTCTGTATCTTACCTGTTTTTTCCCTTTCTCTCAGATTGTATGGAAATCCAGAGAAAACATCAGCAAGTTTTTACGCGCGCGAAAAAGCGGCAGGGTCATGTTTGACCGCTTGGACAGTTCGGTGTCGGTGTATCCGACAGTGACTTTCCATCGCCCCAGTGACAACATTGACGATCTACGAAACGAAAATAACTACGACGACGAAGAAGCTTTAATTTACAACGAGGAAAGAGGAGAAAACGACGATTCCCGAGTTTATAAAGAGGAAAGGAAAATTGACAGCATGAAACACGTTGGGAATCGAGAGGAGGCCAAGGTTTGCAAATCTTTCTATTCCTTTATTTTTTTTCATATTCAGTCGCATATAAGACGCTTCTTGTTTCGATAGAATGGACACACAAAAAGGAAAATAAGCATGTACAGTACTTTGCACTATGCGATGACATTTAATCTAAGATTATTTTTCACCAGCAATTTTTGTGACCAACACAACCTTTTGCGTAAAGATGATGTCAGAACTCAATAAAAAATTCTTACACATGATTCCAAGGTTTTCGAGCGCGCAAGAAAAATAAAATTCTGACTTGCTGATGAACATATTTGAGGTCAACTATTAAATGAAGCAGGGATGAAAAAAATATTCTTAACTGATTCTAAAGAAATTAAATTTAATGAAAATGTGTCTCAAATTCACGAGCTCACGTATTTCCTTTTTTTTTAAGGCGTGAACATTAAATTGCGTTTTTAAATCGACGGCGTTCTAAATTCGAATAATGTTGGGTTTTAAACTCTCGAGTTTTCTCCGCAGATATTCCAAAAATGTGAGCAGAAACCGAAGTCTGACAAGTGTCTTCTCGTTAACGAAGAAGAACCAGAATATCATCAAGGCTTTGAAGAATAATAGCGACAGCAAAAAAATAGTTATTTTTCTTCAACCTTGAGAGCTTGGCGACATGATTGATGATCTTGTCTCCCCGCGATGACATCATCTTTTTTTCGGATCAGCGTGTCATTTACTTGCTGAATTCTGCGGCATCTCGTTTTTCGTGTGGTTGAACAGGTTCCGCATCTTTGCTCCCTTATTCCGTCAAAGAGTAATTTTTCCTGAACGAATTTCCTGTCGACTTTCTCATCAGCGCCTGTTCCATGTCGATTCGAAGACAAAAAAAAAACCTGTCGTGAGATGAGATAGTCTTCCCGAAGTTTTAGTCAGCATGCTTTTAAATACGCTCAGCTAGCTTTATTTGCTTTAAACATGTACGGCAAGTTATTGAGAAAACAGTATTTGTCGATTTTTTTGTATTTCATGGAATTGCAATTTTGTGTCAACAATGAATTTTCAATAGAGTGAATCCTCGATTATTCGGGCTTCAATTATTCGCTAATTTGCGGTCCGAATTTCAAGTCACCCAGAGGAAGCGGAACGGTATAATCAATACAATTTCGTCCATATTATTTATTTATCTCAATTTGGCTTGTGTTATATTCACAAATTCTTGTCAAAATGCCGTTTTTATGAAAATCAAAAAGCCAACAAAATGTGGCAAGAATATAATGGAATATAGTTTCATGAGTAGTATAAGAATAAAAATTTATCAATCATAGATGTTTTAGAATTCCAGAATTTTTTGCTTGTGAGTTTTTAAAAGAAATTAATTTAATTTTTTTATTTGTTTCATATTTGCTTCTAAACGAAGACACTCGGTAATTAACCCGGATGATCGAGATTTCGCGGAAATGCTGTAAAGGAAATTGAATACCTTTATTGGGAAGTTGGCGACGCGAAAATACGACAAATGGGGAACATAGTATTATTTTCTGTTGTCAAATTTGATTTCGTTGAAAAATGTTGTGAATTTTGCTTTGATCATCCGTGAAAAGAACTTTAATTTTATTTCGTTGAGAAGAAATAAAATACTCGGTGATTAACCCGGATAATCGAGATTTTTCAGAACTGCTTCAAATAAAGGAATTTGAATGTTTTGTGAAGTTAACGACGCGAAAATGCGACAAATGGTAAACAATGTATTATTTTCTATTGTCAAATTTTGTTTCGTCGAAAAATGTTGTGAATTTTGCTTCGATCATCCATGTAAAGAATTGTTTATTTATTTATTTGCAAAGCAACAAGTTCTGCAAAAAGATTGCGCTCCATATTTTCCAACGAGAAATTGTGTCGAATTGTAAGAGTTGTTTCTGTCTGATGCCTACCATTCCCATATACAATGTATGTATGTCGGAGTGAAATTCATTTTTTATGTGCAGATAGTTGCTAGCAATGACAGTAAACTTCATTTTCCCTTTCCTTTCACTTCTGCAAAATGTCTGCTGAAAATACGAAGCTGCTGCTGCAGCGAATAATGAGCGAAAAGTTTTTTCGTCTCCCCTCTCGTCCTTCGCGTTGATGCGGATGAATATATATAGTCGCGTCCTCCTTCCCCACTTCCGAAGTTTTGCTTCCTTGTATCTCCGCTCTTGTTGTTGTTGCAAAACAGGGATCTTATTTTCCTTCTCTGTACGACTGTTATTTTTTTGTTTTGAATCTTCAAAAAGTAACGCCTCTTGTCCGATGATCAAAAGTGTCGGGCTCTTTGTGGAGTGGAAACTCGAGAACGAGCGTCGCGACGCGTTGTCAGAAATGATGGAACGGAAGAATCTTTTCTTTAAAAAAAAATAATAATTGAAGAAACATCTTGTAGCGATTTTTTGGAACAAATAAAGCTTGTTTTCAGGTAAAAAAAATGTCATATTATTTCAGCCATGAAGTTCTTTGTTGATGCATTTAAATTCGAAATTTCCCGCAGCGAAAAATTCTCTTTATTTTCAGCTGAAAAAGCCAGCGTACTGATTTAAATTTGAGCCAATTGTAAACCATTGCACGAATAACATGCTCTTCACAAATACTCAAAACCCTCGAGCACCATAAATGAAGTAAAAAAATAAGTTCAGGAGAGGAAAAAGTACAGGATCTCACGAGAATCGAACGACTGAGCACCACATAATGTTTTCAAGATAAAAATGACGAAGGTTTCTGTAAAAAACCGTTTTATTTCTAAGAGATCCGCGGTTTTTTATTGCTGTTGAAGACATAAAATAAAATCAGTGCTGAATAAAATTTTTGAAATCAATATCTGTGATAAATCCGATAGTCGAGCTTCCCGCGTATATGCATACTTCTTTGTTTTGTTTTGAGAAACAAGGCTTCACAGAAAAATGCCCCGTGCTTCTTAGTGAATTGTGAAGATTTCCAAGTATTTCTAGAACTTTTCATCGTCCATCACATCACGTGGACCCCACAAACTTAGCCGGAAAAAGAAATTTCCCGGTGGGATAATGTGAGATGGTAGAGTTTCGCAAAAATTGCTAGAATGGGGGCACACAGGAAATGTGTTTTTTTCTTTTTTTTTCCGCTCTGCGTTTTTTCTCATATTGTTTTTTTCCTGCGGGTCAAGAAGAAAAACTTGAAACCCCTTTCTTCTGTGAAAGCAATTTACAACCTGCCACAAAAGCGACGCCATAACCATCTAGGAAACCACCCTTCTCTACACGCGAAGAATAAATTGAGGGTAGAACAATCACGAAAGTGCCATATGCTCGGGGAAAAAAGTGTCTTGCTAGGTTTCGTCTGCTCGTGTATATAGATATACAGTACATATATATATATTTTATTTTTTTTACATTCATTCATTCATTTCAGAACGCATGTAACAGTCCCTTTGTGAGTGTGTTCACGTCATATATGAGATTCGGACCTTGGAGTACGCAACCTCTGTTTCCTGGGTCAAGATTTGCCTCAGCAACGGTTTGCTGATCCTTGTTGACGTTTATTTGGGTGGTACCATTTACACTTCATCCTGCTACTTGAATTGCTGATCTTATAGTATATACTGCATATGTATATACCTTCGGTAAATTTTAATTTTTATGTACCACGCGCCCATATTTTCCAAAAATCAAGACGAGAATAGGAAGCGCGTTTATAAAGTTTATCATGAGAAAAAAATTTCTCGAGTACGCCGCATACTTTCGCAGAAAATTTTCGACAAATATTCAAAGTGTACTTTTTCAAAACCTACCAGAAGTAAAATTCTGAGCTTATCCAAATTTGAATAAAGTTGAATTTGATCAGGTTTCAATCCCGTTTTAAAGCTCAATTCAACCTTCATTTGAGAATTGTCGGTCAGTGATATACTCGTATGAGTAAAAGCTACGACTTTCAACTTACGAGGTAACAAATTTTTCATTAAATTTTCTGGTAAAAAATCGTGGCGCGTGTCTGACTTAAGTGTGCACGGTACGTGAATGAATATCGTATACAGTGAGACCCCAAGATGCGGACGTAAATGGTGCATCAAGAGTGTCCTGATGTCGGAATTTCCCCAAGTCAAGTCTCATTTTCCCTTAGACTTCAATGCTAATGTATTTAATTGGTTCTCCTTTTTGTCAAAAATTAGAAATAAGTCCTCAGAAGATGCAATAAAATTTTTCCCTCAACTTCAAGTTGTGGAAAACAACAGTGCAGAACAACCACATAGAATCTGATCTTTTGGTATCAAAAAGAGATGAAAAAAGCAAAGAAAAAGAATAAATCTTGCTAAAATATGCACAGATGATGAAAAAACTCTGAAAAAGAAGCACAAAATCATTTTGTTTTTCATCATGAATTAGAGTGAATTCTCTTGAAATTTTTTTATAATTTTTATGAATATAAATAGCTTGATTTCTTTGAAAGATATGAAAATTTTTAAAAATGAAATGTTTCAAGTTTTTGGTAAAACTTCAGAAAAGTGTCCCTAACTCAAGCCAATGTCCGGATGTTAGGCCTGATGTTTTTAGTTTTCAAGTGTCCCTCTGCCGAATTGTCCATATGTCGGAGTGTCCACATATTGGGGCCTCACTTATACATGAATAGATATTTTAAAGATTAATTGGAGAGGAAATAGAATACAATTGTCAGTCTCTATTTACTTATTAGTTTATAAGCGAAGCAATCCAGACCCTTCTCACAAAATTTCGCTGCGTATTACCAAGGAAGTTCGTTTTCCAGAGTTTCCTTCCGGAAATTGTTCTGAAATATCAGCGACGCTGCAAATAAATACAGTACTGCTGTAAGAGCAGAAACCTTAATGAAAGTAAAATAAATTATTTTTTGAGCCCCGTTCTCCTGCCAAATATTTCCCGACGGCAATCTCGGAAAAGTGATGACGATACCGAGACAGCGCAGGCGAGGCAATCAGTCCCTAATGGATGGTTTCCGCCGTGTGACAAGAAAAAAATACCGGGAAATAATAATAATAATAATAATTCTGTAAAAAATAACCATGAAAAGCAGAACATGGTGAGAAAGAAATTGTCTTGCGTGAGGCCTTCACAATATCCCGGGCTCATGTCGGATAAAAAGGGGAACTGCTCCCGGGTTCCTTGTCGCGTGTGTCGGCGGGTCAGAGAAAACCTACTCGCAATCAAGCAGAGCGCATTGTTTGCTCACGTGATCTCATCGCCAGAACTCCTCAATTCTTAGTCCGCCTTTCAATTTGATGCCCTGTGGATAAGAAAGCGTCTGATTTTTGAGGCCACCACGTATATATAGGAACAAGATCAACCCTAAATGCAGTGTGGAACCCTGACATTCGGACGATGCGACTTGAGTACGCTTGAAAACAAAACAAATATTTTCCGACATCCGGACAATGTCTTTGGGATGCGGAAGCTTGGCGAAAATATCCAGAAAAATGGGACAACAAGTTAAATCGTGACATCTCTTGACCAAGTTGAGCTAATTCTCTGCACACAAATTAAAAAGGTATTTCTTTATAAAATGTCTCTAATTCATCATAAGAAAAAAACAGGCTAATTCTTTTGCTGATTTTTTCGAGTTTTTTTCCATCATGCGTGCACAGTTGTTTTCTGTTTCTGAAAGTTGAGAAAAATATTGTATACCCTTTTGGGGGACTTTATTCCTGATTTTTCTGATAATAAGAACCAATTAAATTTGCTCCAATTGAAGTCTTCGGGGAAAGCGTGTTCCGACACATGGACGATCCGACATAAAAGGACAAGTTTCAAACAAAAATTACGTCCGCAACTCGGGGCATCTTTATAATTTTTTTTCTGCAGATTCTTTGATCATTCTACATGAACTTTGACACGAACACTCAGATTAGCGCAACTAGGGTACCCTTTATGTAACGACCTCAAAAAGGGGCTGCATGAAACGTATTGGCTCGGTAAGCAGGCTAGCTACAGAATTTTTATTTCCCCTCATATTTGTGTCTTAGATAACTGAAATGCAATACATTTCACAGGTGACACTTATAAAGGGTACACCTTCCGAAAAATAATCGAAAGCTGAAATACTAAATCTTTTTGTGCAGGCAAGAAAACTTTTAACGGGATAATTTGTTTTCCCACATCAGAGCCCCTGATGAGGTGCATACAACTATGTGATGAAATGAGGGTTTTACATCTACTTTTGTCTTTAAAAGAACTACCGTACTTTTTAAGCCAAGAAGAACGATAACATCCAGAAAAAAAACCGTCATTACTTATTCTCCATAAATTGAATGCATTGCCAAATTTTGATCAGCGAAGGAAGTTCAACATTTTAATGCTGTGAACACGAGAGAACTTTGATGAGCTTCAGGTGCTGGATTCCGTGTAAGGGTTCTCGAATCCCAAGGTCAACTTTTGTCGGTACGACATACCCAAAAACAAAAAAGGAACTTTTGCACAATGGTTTGGTCGATGTTGCGGGTCCCATCGGTTCTGTCCAGTCAAGGGAAGACGGAATTGCGGCAGGTTCGCAATCGATATACGAACTATCAAGTCCTAAAAAAAAAAAAATAGAACACACGTTTTTTTTTCTCCCAAAATTTATGTCTACCCCAAGAAAATCGACTAATTTGAGAACACTTTTTTTTAAATAACTGACCCACGAACAAAATAGCTGCGTCTTTATTTCACAGCGATAAAATATTTTTCACGCAGAACGTTTTAATTGGCCGAAATCTTAATTGTAGGAATATTATTTAAGAATTCTGTCAGGTCCTGTGATCAGAAGCGAAGAATCGCGATCCCCGATAATTTAATTCCCTGCATTTGAGCTATTAATTACGGTTAAAAAAAAGTTACCCAGATTTTCCGAATTAATGACAATTTTTTTGAATCGTAGTGAAATTTCACGCATAATCATGAACCTTCAAACTTATAAATTCCTCGCATCGTGTTTAAGTTTGCATCCATAGGCTTCGACTGCAACAAAGTCTGCGAGAAAATCCGAGCATGATTAAAATTGAAACCAAGCTAAGGTGAAGAAATTTCCCTTCTCCAAGAACCATCAATAATTTATTCATATTATTTTGCGGAAATTGCGAAGAAGCCAAGAAATATCAAAAAAAGGTCTCGATGTTAATAATGAATAAAATAAAAATTACGCTCCCAGAAATTGTGAAAAAAATTCCTTCTCCGAGGCGGTAGAAATGTTCCCCTGGTTTCTCTGCTCTTCTAATTTGAAAAGCGCAAATAAGACTCGTTTTTCTTGCTTTTCAGAGCCGCGAAGGCCTCATTAGGCAAACTCATTAACCTCACTGGTATAGTGGAAGACACCGCTAGAGTAGCTTTATTGTACCTTCATTATCTCCGTCAGCCCTGTGGCAAATTATGAACTGAACCGTGAA